ACCACAACTCTCTGGGCTCGGCCATCCAGCTCCTTGCAGGCTGTCTTGCTGTTCTTGCTTTTGGCATTAGTGGAATAGGTACATTCTGCCAGTTGAGAGCTTTAGGAGCTCCCTTCTGCTCTAAATGTCTAGTCATGGATGAAGGTCTACTTACATTTTGAGATGGTGGAAAAGCACTGGAGTTTCTACACCAAATTAAACAACATTTTTGTTTCATTCTGATGTCCTATCAGGGCAGAAGCCAGTACAGAATTAGTAGGGAAGAGGTGAGCAGGTACCACTCTCCTCCTTCACCACATGCAGTGAGTACAACCAGTTGTATAGAGTTGTACTCCTTTCCCCAGGCTCTGTTCTCCATTGCACTGAGGCAAATTCAGCTCAGAACATGTACATTCAGCTCCCAGGATAGCCTCTAGGTGACATTCAGCCATAACAAGTGGTTGTGCAAGACTAGTTGTCCTCAGACAACCCAGCAAGTCTGTACTGATTTTGAATTTAATAGGTGTTTAATAGAATACACAACCAGTGTGGGAGGATTGAATGTGTAGAACAAAACCCAACTAATATAATCGTGAACATCAAAGCAGGCTTGTCTTACAGTATGATTCACAGCAGCGCAGAGGACATTTATTTTGCAGACAAGTCTAATATTGTTGTAAGTATTAATGTTAATAGTTGCACTTGATTATATTAGAACAGAATTTATTTTAGAGGCAGATAAATACATATATAATTGAGTTTATCATTAAGATAGCTAAGTGTAGATGTCTACAGGAAAATTATGTGTCCACAGTCTTTTCATACTCCATGGAGATCTAGTCAATGGAGGCTTGAAAACAACTCAGCTGAACAGACTATAGGACACAATTCAGTTACTCTTCCACAGGTACTCGATACCATTTGAGATGCCTTAGGCCATCTGAGACATCTGCATGGGACTTTTAGATCTGACCCAGGATTTACAGACTGGAGAGTTGGGCGGAGGGGAACCTCATGAAATTTAACAAGGACAAGTGTAGAGTTCTGCACCTGGGGAGGAACAACCTCATGCACCAGTACTGGTTAGGGGTTGACCTGCTGGAAAGCAGCTCCATGGAGAAGGACCTTGCTGTTCTGGTAGACAATAAGGTATCCATGGGACAGCAATGTGCCCTGGTGGCCAAGAGGGCTGATGGTATCCTGGGGTGCATTAAGAAGAGCGTGACCAGCAGGTCGAGAGAGGTTATCCTCCCCCTCTACTCTGCTCTGGTGAGGCCTCGTCTGGAGTATTGCGTCCTTTTCTGGGCTCCCCAGTTCAAGAGACACAGGGAACTTTTGGAGAGAGTCCAACGGAGGGCTACAAGGATGACTAAGGGACTGGAGCATCTCTTGCATGAGGAAAGGCTGAGAGACCTGGGGCTGTTTAGTCTGGAGAAGAGAAGGCTGAGAGGGGACCTTATCAGTGTCTATAGATATCTGAAGGGTGGCTGTCAGGAGGATGGAGCCAGTCTCTTTTCAGCAGTGCCCTGTGACAGGACGAGGGGTGATGGGCATAAACTGCAGCACAGGAAGTGCCATCTCAACACGAGGAATAACTTCTTTACTGTGAGGGTGACGGAGCACTGGAACAGGCTGCCCAGGGAGGGTGTAGAGTCTCCTCTGGAGACCTTCAAAACCTGACTGGATGTGTTCCTGTGCAACCTGCCCTAGGTGATCCTGCCTTGGCAGGGGGGTTGGACCAGGTGATCTTCAGAGGTCCCTTCCAACCCCTACCCCATTCTGTGATTGTGTGATTCTGTGATTGTGTGATTCTGTGATAAAAGACACTCATGCTTTTCTGGACTTGCAGTAGAAGGCCAGGTGGGATACTCAAAGGCATTCCAAATGACCCCAAATGTGTAGGTTGAAGAAGAAGAAATGAGTCTTTAGTTCATCAGAATTACTCTTTTGACAACCTCAGTTCATTTGCCCACATATGGCTATCCTGTGCTCCTTCTGATTCTCTGTGGTGATTGAGATACCTTTGGTACTGGCAGATATGACTGAAGGTTGATGAGACACTTTCTGGAGCATTAGCTGGCGGCCAGACAGCATGGCTTGGGGCATCCCATGTGAAGGAAAATGGGTCATGTTCTGTTGCCTGTATTCTTTTTGAGGGCAAAATCTTGGAAAAAAGTGGACGATATTTGAGTAAATGCCTCAATAGCAATAGATTCCTTTAATTAATTGCCTCCTTTGCTTTTTTTTTCTCCCTTTGAGCCTGTCACTGCCCTGGAGCTGCTGGATAGATGCGGCCAAAGAAAGAGCAAGGAGGGAGGGTGGAGGAGAGCCACAACCACTGTGCTGGGAGGGTGGGATGCAGCCCAGCAGCTGCCAGGAGCTGCTCCACTGCTTCTCAGAGCCTCAGACCCTCATAATCATAGGCATGGAGACTGTG